TTGATGGAGGGGCCTGAGATGGACTGGCCCCACCCTGCCTGCCTGCCTGCGTGAAATTCAGGCCACCACCTGTAGCCCCAGCAAACTTCCCAAAGCTCTCCTCTGCCCTTTGTCTGTTTCCTCTTCAGAAACTGTCCTGGCTCTGCTCCTTCCTGAAGAAAATGCACAGTTCTAACCTTGGTACAGACCCTTCACTCTCTCCTTCCCACACTCTCAGTGTCCTGCTCTCCCTTCTGGCCCTCGAGATACACCCTGTGTCTTCCTGGCCCTGCCTCATCCTGCTTCCTGTGTCTGGCAAGTGCTTACCTCAGTTCTTTTATCTGTATGTCCAAATCCTACCTAATTTTCATATTGTTATGTTATTTGAGCCCCACAAAATTTCTGTCAGTATTCCTTAAAACATTGCTCCCCCTCTCCCTTCCTCTCTTTCTAAAACAAACAAACAAAAAGTATTGCTCTCACAAGATGATCCTTTAAGAAAAGGATTCCATATTAAACTTAGCTGGAGCAATGCTGTATGCACTATCATTGTTTTATAGGTTTATAGTACATGCCCTTTCCTTAATGGCCTTCAGTAGGAAGCCTAGACCCAGTATTTCTCAAATGTGTTGACAACAGAACTCTTTCCTTCTCCGTATTGATTAACACATCACAGACTATTTTGGAAATGCTTCCTAGAGAGTTATCAGTAAACTTATCCTTACCCCATTTTTATCAGTGAACATACTGAGGCTCAGAGACAAAAATGCTTTGCACAAGCTGAGTGAAAGGAGCTTCAATCCCATTTTTTTCTTTACTGCACTGTGATGACTTATCATATTGGTCATCTACTGAGGACTTTAAAACTTAGTTTCAGCACCCTGGAAGTTAGTTACTTCTAAGGTTATAACTCCCATTTCTTTCCCAATATCTAAACTTTGTCCCATTTCTCTTTTCTAAAAATGATTCCATCCAAGTATTTCTTTGACTTTTCCTGCCAGATGTTTCACAAGTAAGTAACAAAAGGCTCCAATTAAATTTTTCCAGTAGCCTCACCAAATCATGAATAAAAGACAAGCAGGTAACTTTTCCAGTATATACCTGGGTTATGTCAAAATCGTAATTGCAAAGGGAAGGGACTGGTGGCCTGACTTCAAGGAGACCTTTACTGCTAAATAAGAACTGAGTAAACTGCTCAGTGACCAGCAATGTATGAGTGCGTTTCTGTTTTCATCTGCACTTTGAGGGTTTCTGAGGAATGTAAAGTAAAATTTTTCTATAATTATAATGAAATAAACCATTTTATGATTTTTCAAAAATGAAAGTAAAAATTAGTAAAATATGCTTTTAAATAACTACCTAAATGTTTGTTTATAGTTTTATTATTAACACCCGGATTTTAAATCCATCTGTGTTACAAGTTGTGAGGTCCTTCTCTATGTTACTTTATCACAAGATTCAGTTAGGGGGAGACTCTGTGCATGCTCACAGGAGAGACTGTGCATGCTCACAGCGTCACCCCTGAATGGTGACATCAGAGGGCTGCACACTATTGGGGGAACAGACCTCACCTGACTAGTTCAGTCAAGGTCACTAAACTGATACCTAAGCAGACAAGCGAACAAATAGGCACAGGGTGTGGGAAATCCATATACGGAGTTGGTACAGTATATTATCTAAAATGTTCAGTTTTCAAAAAAAATTGTAAAGCCTGCAAAGAAACAGGAAAATGTGACCCTTACATAGAGGAAAAGATAGGCTTTGAGAAGGGCCCACATGTTTCACTTAGCAGATCAAGACTTCAAAGCAATTATTAAAAATATATTCAAGAAACTAAAGGTGACCATGATTAAAGGATTTAAGGAAGATTCGATGATAGTATCTCAGCAAATATAGAATACCAATAAAGAAATGATTTTTAAAACAGGGAAATTCTGGAGTTGAAAAGTATTATAACCAAAAAAATTCACTAGATAGATGGAGTAGACTATTTGAGTTGGAAAAAGAAGAAATGAGCAAATTTGAAGATAAATCAATAGAAATATAATTTGAAGAACAGAGAAAGAAGGAAGGAAAATGAATACAGCCTTAGAGAAATGAGAACATTAGTAACTGCAATACATACATGCAATAGTAATCTCGGAGAGGAGAGATGGAAAGGAGCAGAAAAAATAAATAATGGCAAATCCTAAATTTGATTAAAATAAAACCATTAATCTACACATCCAGACAAGTCAACAGATTCCAAGTAGGATAAAAGCACAGAGACCGTAGTCAAAATGTTTAAAGACAGAGAACATCTTGGAAGCAGCAAGAGCCTGTACAAGACACTTAGTAGGTATACAAGGGAACTCCGGGAAGATTAAGAGTTGACTTCTTAGAAATGTGGAAACCAGAAGACAGGAGGGTGGCATATTTAAAGCGTTGAAAGAAAAAACTGTAACCAGAAGTCTCATACCCAGTAAACTGGTCTTAGAAAATGAAGGTGAAATAAGCAGGTAAATAAAAACCAAGAGAATGTGTTTCTAGCAGATCCACTTTACAAGAAAAACCAGAGGAGCTTCTTCAGGTTGAAGGCAGGCAGTATCAGGCTGTAATTTGTATCCACACGAAAACACCAGCAAAGAAGATTATCATTCAATTACAGAAGAATGTCATTGCATGTTATTTTCCTGATTGCATAAAACAATAGGTATGTAATTGTATTATTGGGCCCATAACACACAGAAATGTAATAAACTTGACACAATAGCACAAAAATTAGATGAGAGCAAAACTGTATTGGTGTAAAAAATTATCAAATGACCAAGTCATTAGAAACGTATTAAACTATATGAGACCAAAGTTGTCTTATTGTATTCCTGATTTTACAGGGACTATGGAAACACTTAAAGAGAAAAAAAACGCAGACTTTGGAGTGAGAAAATCTGGGTTGAGTCCTTGCTTTGAGTAATTTTTAGCAGTTTAAACTTGGACAAGCCACTAGCATCTTTGAGCCTCAGTTTCTTAATTTATCAAATGCAGTTAGTGGTATAGTGCCTGACCTATCTTCTTTGTCCCATTCATCCTTTTGAAGTATCCTAGAATGTGGTGCTGTATTGAGGGTACTGGTGAATTCACAGGTATGTGAGAATGTTCCGGACTTGTATCCTACAGGCTCAGCTGCAAAGTCCCCCCTCCCTGAATCCCCAACTCTATATCTCCTGATCATGTTTCTCACAACCCCCAAGGCAGAACGGAATCTCTCTTAACCCCGTGGCCCTTCTTTAATTGTACTCATGCCACGCTTCCTGAAGGATCTGCTTTCATGGGTTAGAAAGGTTCTGTCGTCTTTCATTTCTGTCCTGAGTAGACTAAAGGTGAAGTACTGCATGCATTTGATCAGTGCCAACCAAGCTCCAGGTAGTTCTACGGTAACTGCTCATCCCTCCTCCTCATAAAATATTTTAACAAATGTTGGCTCCTGCGTATTCTGGTTTTATCAAGAGTTCTTACAAATCCTGGGTTTGTTCTTGTACTTGAAGAGTGGGGGAGGGAGGAAGAATACTGTCGAGTCCATAAAAATGCAGACCACCTCAGAAATATGTAAACAGAAATATGCTAACATGATGTATCTATTTCTTTTGAGGCGGTGAAGTTTTGATTAATTCCCTCTTCCCCCCTCCATCTATGCTGTTTTGGTTTCTACATTGAACCTGTATTATGCTATGATTAGGGTGAAATTGGTGCTGCTGCTGGTTATAAAAATGGGCTGCAAACAAGCTCTGCTTCCATTTAAAAGCTTCTCTGCTGCCTTAAGTAAGGGGTAGTCTCCCTTTGCAGCAAGTTTCATTTAGATTCTAAAAGAAAAAAAAGTTTTACATTTCTCCCTAGGGAGCGTTTAAGACAGTGAGGTCTGTAGGCTCCAGTTTTTCCTCTTACCTGCTTTGCAATTAAACTCAAGGATCTATACCCGGTGGCAGGGGGCAGGCGCCTGCTGCAACCTGTGTGTCTCTCATTGGCTGTCAGGGTTCATGCCTTGGCCAATCGCAGGGGGCCAGGTCGTCAAGGTGATGGGCACCGCTAACACAGCAGCAGCCCACTAGCAGCCTGGGAAGGTGATGGCAAAGAACTTGTATGGTCCTGGGGTCCGGATGGGCAACTGGAACGAGGATGTCTACCTGGAGGAGGTGAGGATGTGTCCTGGAGGCTCCCCCACTGCTCCCACCCCCAGGCCACCCTAAGTTCCCCTGGACTTTGAGCACCCCAAGGCTCCTTTCTCCCCTAGCACACCCCGAGTACCCTACAATCCCACTCCTCTCTGACCCTTCAGGAATCTCACCTGTGGTCCTGCTAACCAAGGTCTGTCCTTGGGTCCCTTGCCTTCTCAAACTCAGTCCTTTGACTCTCAAAACTCTCTCCCTTCCCTAGCCCCCCCACCCCCACCTGTGCCGCGGCCTCAGTGTAGAGCCCTTCTGAGTTCCTTTTCCTCTGTTTCCTAGACATTTACAGTCCCAGAGGCTGCGGTCCAGGTGAGGATGGTGAGGAGGCAGGCTTTAAACAAAAATAGCCCCCCCATGCCCCACCCTGTCACACATATCCACCTGAGTGTCCCTGTTACTGACTGTCCATTCACTGCCTTGAATTCACCCAAGGTGGTCTTGACAAGGCCCTGGGCCATCTATGTGCCAGACTTGTTGGGAGGCGGCGACTTTCAGTGTCAGTCATCATACCACCAGGGAGACTTTAGTGGGGGACACATGGCCTCCAAGTGTTTCTCATGACTGTCACTGGCTGGAGTAATTATAGGTGATGTTTCCTTTTTGTGTCTTTGTCATTTTTCTAAACATTGTACAATGAAAGAAAAATACTAAAATAACGCTACAAAAACTTCCCCGTGATGCTCACATTTATTTCTTCTGTTCTCAAATTTTGCTTTTTCACTTGAGGTGCCTCTGACCTGAAAGCTCCCAGTGTCTGTGTTACTCAGAGCTGTTGCTGGCCCTCCCTTTGGATTTCATTCATTTTCTTTCCTTCACCAGGAGCTCATGAAAGACTTCTTAGAGAAGAGGGATAAGGGACAACTTCTCATACAGAGAAACAGAAGACTAAAACAGAATCTTCTGAGACCGGTAATTTTAAATTCAAACACCGTTTTCAAAATTCTATCAAACCAAGTGTGAGTATATGTTAAGCAAGTGAGAATTCCATAAATGAGTTGTTATTAGGAAAATAGCAGTTTTTCTCTTTAGATCTGAAAACCACAATGTTTAAAATTCCTTAGGATTTCAGAAACATAAGAGAACTTTGCTATTATGTTAACCTGCATTAAGAAATGACTACATTAATACAGGGATTAGTAAAATGCCCTTAGTTGGTGCTGAAGAAATTTTCAGTGAATGTTGAATAAATTAATAATGGACTCAACCCATGTGCTTTTTCATCAGTTTCATTGTACTTCATTTGAGTTATTGGGGGGCTTCAGTTTGGCACATTTGGAGCCGAGTTGGGGGCAGGGAAATGAAGGATAGGATTGGAGGCAACTTGAGTGAATCCCTTACTGAAATGCTCCTAGACTAAGAAGGGAAGGAGGTCCATCTGAGATGGCTGTTAAGGAATTGCATGGTTTAAATAGAAACACTCTTATTCCAATTGCAGATGCAGCTTTCCGTATCTGAGGATGGATACGTTCACATCGGCGACAGCGTGATGCTTGTGAATCCCGACTATCCTGAGATGGAAGCTGATCTGTTTCTCAGCGGGGACCTGAGCCTGTGTTTGACTCCAGATGAGATCAGAGCCCATCTGAGTGATGAATTTGAGGTGCCCTGTGGCCTGAGTGCAGCGCCAACCAAGATCCCAGTTGGCAGAAACACTTTTGTCATTTTGAGGTAAAGATACGTTAAATTTCATCGTAAATGTCTGTTTTCACTTGTAGCTTAAGGATGTCCTGGGATTGGAGCAGGACTGATTGGAGGCAGAGGTTCTATGAACATTCTTGCTTTATTACCTTGAGAATTATCATCAGGGGGCCTTTACCATTTCTTTACCTTAAACATCAGGATAATTTGTGTTCAATTCAAAATGCTTAGTTCAAAGGCATTGCATCCAGGGAATTAAATTCATATTCTGTCTAGAAGCAAAGTGGGTTTTCCTAATAACATCTCAGAGTGTTTGGAGCTCATTTGAGGACTTTCATTGTTTTTAATGTTGCCATGTTATTTTTACACCAGAAATATATCATTTAATGCAAAGTAGCATAACATGGGGATTTGCTATTTTAAAATTCATTGTCTACTATAAATATACTTGAGGAGATTTTGAAAATGAGCATTTAAACCCTTAGAGAACAGACACATAATTACAATTAAAAACATTGCTTTTACTTTGTTACTAAATTGTGATAGCCATGTTTATATTACAGGAATATAGCTTCTAAGTCTTTAATTTAGATTTATTTTGAATATGGATAATTTACATGAAGACAACTTCTGAGTTTCCTAGAGGATTAAGAGGGAAAATAGTATTAAATGTCTACAAATGTGTTACCTTGGATCTCTCTAGAGACCTCACTGCACCTGACCCAGTTCCTTAGCGTAGGATAGCATGACGTGCTCAGTCCACTCTCGGCTGACCACATGGGGATGCTCTGTGTTCTGGCCACGTTGGAAGGCAGGGCGTAGGGTGCTGGTTGGATTTGAAGCTTTTGTTTAGTGATGTAATTCAGGTGTGGTTACATGAATATACATTATCAAGAAAATTATAAACAAAATTGCACACACGAAAAATAGAGCTGTAGAATGATTTTCACTCAGAGAAATTAAATTATAATCGTTGTTCACTGACAGTGCAGACAGAGAGACCATCGGCCAAGTCCTTAGGTACGGGCAGAACTTTTGCCTTGGGACCACAGGGGGATTTGAAGGCAGAATGGTGAGTCGTCATGTTGCATGTCTACTTGGGCCTGGTCATTTTCTTTCTGTGTGGGCAAGTGGCAACCTCCCGAGGTGGACAGAGAGCTCTGCAGGCATGGGCTCCATCTCTGCAGCTTTTCACAGGCAGTTTTGGGCCGCTTCTTTCCTTCTAACTTTGCAGATTTCAAAAATACACCCTTAAAATGGAGAAAACCTTGTTTTCAATGCAGCAGGCAAAAGTAAAAATTTATAGCACCTTTACCTGTAAGTTAAATGATTGGATTATATAATAATAATCTGATAGCTGTTTGATGGCACCAATGTTAGATCTGACAATTTGTTTTGACCTTTTATTGTCAAACTTCAAACTTCTGTCTGATATGAGATGCTTAACTTTGCGTAAATCAGCATAAGTCTTTGATCTTTACCTCCGCCTGGGGGACTAGGAGGTGAAACAGAACCAGACAAATTTGGGTTTGAATTCAGCTGAGTTGCATACCTATGGGACAGGACTTAGGTAAAATTATTTAATCTTTTTGAGTCTCATTTATAAAATGGGGGTTGTTACGCCTTACTACATGCTTAAGCGCTTCACATATGTGAACTCATTTATTCCTCCAAACAAGTCTATGACAGAGGCACTATTTTACCCGTTTTATTGCTGGGGAAGCTGAGGCACAAGGAGGTTAAGTTATTGTGCTCCAAGTCACTCAGCTACTGAGTGGCATAGCTGGGACCATAATGTTTTTTCAGTGAATCAGAGTCCATTATTGTGTAAAGTGGCATTATTATTGTTGTTGTTATCATCATTATTACTTTGTACCACTAAATCAGTTCTGGCAATTAACCTATGACACATTGTAAATGGTGAGCTGCTGCCTGATTCTAAATGTGAAATTAGAGGAACTACCAAATTGTTGAAAGAGGGGAGCGAATCAGTGCTGTCCTTGTTCTCTCCTCTCCACCCATATCTAGCTCATTGTCAACTCCCTCTGCTCTCCCTCCTTAACACACCTTGGCTCATCCTTCATTCCTGGTGCCAGTGCCTCCACCCTGGCCCCTGTAACTTGGTCCTGAGCTTCTCGGAGAGCACATGTTCTCATTTCTGCCTCCTCTAGCTCTGTGCGCCCTGCTGAACAGTCACACCTTACCAATGCTCATAGATGCTTCCCACAACCACACTCTATCATCTCTCCTGTGAGTCAGAAAACACTTGGGGACAGTAATTCAGTTGTACCTTCCCCATAGTGCCTCGTGGCACAGCTCTGCCTATGAAAATCTATCTAAATAGGCATAAATGACCTTCAGATTCAGGGTGAAGGTGGATCATAAAGAGCTAACAAGGAACCAACATTTCAGACTTTTCGGCAGGACAGGGTGGTTCTTGGCAAAGTCACAGGCAGCCAGATGGTTGCCTAAATAAATTCCAAGTGTGGATATCAATTCCAGAGGGTCATAGGCCCCCCATAGACTCAGGAATGAATGAAGATGTTGGTTTTAAGAGCACTTCCCTTCTACAACGAGCTTCATGCAACATTATTTATAATAAATAAATACAGTTTCTTGTGTCCTAAAAAAGAGGAAGGGATTAGGGACAGAAATGAGAACTGAGAGGGAGATTGAGTCTAGTATCCCAAGGAAGGACCAGCAGGTAGAGGTGATACGGAACCCAAAGTGGTGTTTCTGAGGTGGAGGAAAAATTAATGTTCTCATACAATCATTAAGAACAGGGATTCTGAAAATTGCTTTTGAGCACACTTGCCGTCAGCCAATTGAATGCTTCCTATTTCCCAGATTTTCGAATAGTGTAACATAGTTCATCTGCTTGCTGTCCTTTCCAGTTATACTTATCAAGTGACCACAGGACCCTACTGAAGTCATCTAAGAGGTCCTGGCTCCAGGAGGTGTACCTGACAGATGAGGTCTCCTACCTGAACTGCTGGCAGGCTGCCTTCCCCAACCCTGAGCTTCGCCTCGAGTATGAAGGCTTCCCCGTCCAGGTGAGCACAGCACGGGGAAGGCAGATGCATGTCTGATGCTGTTAAGTGGAGGCATTTATTGCTGTCTGTGAAAGGGAGGCTTGTTGTGGTTTCAAGGCCTTATACACCTATGTTCTTTCTCTCTCTCTTTTTTTCTTCATTTGTATTTCAAGCTTGGAGGACACTATTTTGCCCTGTGGCAGCATCCTGCATCAGTGTTCCTCAACTCTGCACCTTAGAATCATCTACAGAGTTTTATAAAAATACTGAGGCCCAGGCCCTGCCCCTGAGAGGGGGCTGAGAACCCCTGACCTGAGATTGTAAGGATGCTGACACTGCTTCCTTCAGGTCTCTGTTAAGTCCTCATTTCTGAAGAGACTGGGAAATATTAGGGAAGTATAGGAGACAGTGGGGCAGCCATACAGGTGAACACGATTGTCCCACACGGCAGCATCTTTCTGTTCTCATTGCCGGGCGTTTTCTCAGGACCCTGGGCCCTGCAGGATGGGAGCCAGGGCGCGGTCCTGGTGGGAAGGCCAGGCTGGTCGGCACAGAGCTGTTTTGAGGGTCAGAGGCTTTGCTACTCATTCATAAGGCATCCAGAGTGAGGAGTTGTTAGAATAGAAGTCATTGGGAGAATGTGGAATTACAGAGGGTTAGCCAGCTAAGGTGGCTGTCCAGGAAGGGATCCCCAGTCACAGGTCACAGTAATCAGCCAGGCACAGTGTACTTCTCCCCTGAGCTCTGCACTGGACCCAGGTCATGAGGTTCTGTCCTCCTTCATGGACGATATACTCATGGTCCATAATGACACGCACTTGACAAATTTCCCCTCTTCAGCTGGCCTTTGCCCAGCTTTGCTCTCTGTAGAATTGCCTTGCATTTTATGACCAAAACTGTCAGTAACTCTGTTTCTTCATGTAGAATGGGGGTGGTAATAATATCTGCCTTATGAGACTGTGATGATTAAATGGTTAGTCCATTTATAGTTTTGAATAAGGGGCAGGCACTCACTGCTTAACCTGCTGTTACATATATTATATTGTCAAAGATTGTCTCCAAGATCACCTTGAATGATTGATGTAATCAGTCGATTATGGTTTGCCTTCTAGCTTATTTGTGTGTGTGTGTGTGTGTGTGCGTATGTCTATCTGTTTTAAACAAATATATAGTACATTTACAAATTTTTGCTTTTAGGAAATTGGAGGCCTTAACTCATAATGCAAATAACGCCCTTTCTTTATCTTTAAAGGCAAATACCAAAATTCTCATCAATCACTGCCACACAAATCAGGGGCTAGTGGTCCACCGGCATCTTTTCTTAAGGTATTGTGTTGCAGGGTTCAGCAAACTGCTATGCTGTGGGTAGGGGCTGTGAATATTACCAAAGAAGCTCCAATTTAAAGTGTGACAAAAAAGTCCTTTGATTATGAAATATTGTCACATAGAACTTTGCTGGCGTGAAAGGTCCTATTAGAGCCCCTTCTGTTACACAAGTCCCTGTACCACGGGAGGATTTTAGCCATAATGGGGTCCCACCCCCCACAGCCTTGCCCAAATGGGGTGAAGCTTCCTGGCTTATAGGCTGTACTTTAGAGCCCCCTCCGCAAGGCTTTATATAGCATTCTGCCAAGTTAGGTGCTTTTGCAATAAAATGAATAGGTGCTAAGAGCTGTTCCGCTGTTTCTGCATTCCCACCAGTGTTCATTCTTTCCCACCCCAGGACCTATTTTGGAAAGGAAGCAGAGGTCGCTGCTCACACACACCTGGATTCGCACAGGGTGGAAAAGCCGAGGAACCACTGGATGTTGGTGACGGGGAGTCCCAGGAAGGACTCTCCCACCATGTTGGATGTGCCCAAACCACCCGTGGAGGACACCTGTGCCCTGGAGCAGGTGGCTGACCCAGGGGCCCAGTGACACACCAGGTGTGCTCTCATCCAATGTGGCTTTTCAAGAAACCAACAGTCTTGGTCATGTCTTGCACTGTTTTTAAGGTTCAGAGTTCTCTGAGCACTGTATTGAAATAAGACTTTATGAAGATTATTGAATTAGTGGTGGGGGGGGTCTAGGACACAAAAAAATTATTACTGGGAATAGTTCAGAAATGGTATTTGAAAGTGACAGGTGAATTCCTTTGTCGGTGACAAAATTCTGAAGAACTCAGCTCCCTCTGTTTAGATCCTATGTAGCAGTGGCATCTACAATTGTGTGTTACCTTTTAAAGTTGTGTCTGTAATAAAGCTCTTGGCCTGTTCTGAGTTTTGGCCCCATACTTTCTCCCCACATAGTACAGTGTACTGAGAAATCGCCAATATGTTTCTGTGAGCCGTGCCTTACCTTGGAGTTAACGATTTCCCCCTTGTATTTTTGCTTCCACCTCTGGCTTACGAGGGTCAGGATCTCAATCTGACCAATCACATTATTTTGTAATGATTTTTAACCTGCAGAATCTCTTTATCGCTGCCTATCTTTGAAACTGGCACATTAGCAGTGGCACCTATGTGCTCAGAAAGTTCCTGGCAAAATGTACATGTGTCCTCATGTATCTGTCCATCTGCTCCGTTTTTGTGGAGGAACTATGGCGGGTAAGGTGTCCTAATGGGATGAAGAGACCCAGCCCCATAGGTAAAGGTGAGCTTTAAGGCTGGTTCACATGTAAATATACTGAGAGGCAGAAAGTAAGTCAGAGGTGATGCAAATGCATTTTAAACAGGCAACTTCAAGCCTGTGTGGACTGACCCTCTCCAGGGAAGCAGGTGTTAGCCATCAAGTGCTACAGGATTTAGGGCAGTGGTTCCCATCTTTGGCTGCAGAGATTCTTATTTACAGGCAGCCAGGGTTGAGAGCCTCAGCATTGGGAGGTGGAGGGGGAAGCAGTGGTCTCCGGTGTCAGGAAGGCTTTTCACAGTGGGCCCCACCCTGGCTTATAGAGTTAAGTGATTGGCTCAAGATCACACAGCTCTCACAGAGCAGCACTGGGCAGGACCAGTCAGACCTTGCAGACCTTCTTCCACACCACAGTTCCTAACCTTGCACTCTCTGGACTTTGTGAGTCCATTCACTGTTGGGCTGTCACGTGCTTTGAGATGTCTGCAGCATCTCTGCCATCTACCCACTAGGGGCGGCAGGACACCTCTACCATGACAACCAAAAATGTCTCTGGACTTGCTCAGTGTCCCCTGCCCCAGGTCCTCCAGATCTTTACTGTCCACAGAGGATGCTGCACTGGGTTTTTCCCCTTTCTATTTTTACTTTTTCTATAGAGTATAGACTTCATGGTCTCTAAGGTAGCTTCCAGGTATACTAATAATCTTTGTTTAGCATCTCATCTGGGCATTGGTTGGAACCTAGAGTTTTGTGCATATTGGCCCTCAAGGCTACAGTGTGGGCCTGTGCATCGTGCTGGGTGGGCACAGCCCAAGCAGTGGCCTCCAGGGTGGGGTACACAAGATGGCCCATTGAGATGTGAAAGGAAAAGCTTATAACTTCTATGTATGTCATTATTCCAACCTTTAAAATGCTTCAATGTGTGTTTTCTACTGTTCAAAATGTTAATTTTAGTGCACATAAGAGTTTAATAGGCATGAGTGGAATGAAATTTATAAATATGTTATATATAAGACACATATATAAGTGTCTGTGTGTGTGTGTAGCTAGTGCTCAAAACTTATTGGGAAGGGTGCACAATGACAAACTGGAGGCCCTTGTGTGCTGTGGGTGCTGGTGGTTATACAGAAAATGCCATGAAGTCGTTGTTGCAAAGCTGTGTCCTGAGCCATAGACATGGACTCCCCAAGCCCTAAGGTTCACTTTTGCTCAACTGGACAAATGTTTACCGATCAGTTACTGTCTGTTGGTTTTCTTGTTAGGGTGGTGGGGACAGTGAGAAACAAGGCAAAGACCCTGCCACTGGGGGAGGGAAGGAGCAGCCACCAGTGTGATTATGCACTGAGCCAGTGTTCCAGGATCCCAGTGGATGAACAAGGCGATTACTCATGCCTGGGACTGGGAAGGGTGTCCTCAGATGACACTGGAGCTACAAGCTACGGACAACGCTGTTCCAGGCAAAGGAGGCCCCTTCATGTCCCTGAAGTACAGCCTCTGGAGAGGTGGTGAGAGGCGGGACTTGGCAAGGGTGGGTTCCTAATGGGCTGTATGCAGAGCTGACATTCAGTGGGTACATCCGGCCAGGCTGCATGGGTGTAAAACAGTGTGATGTCTTCCTCTGGTTGGAAGATAGCTCCTGACCCTAGTTCCCAAGGTGCCCCTTGCAACCCTGGCACCTCTCTGGAGGAAGGGACCCCTGGAATTCCCTACAACCCAGCCACTAGAGAGTATATGCCTAGCCCTCAGGGAGCCTGCAGGACCCTGACCCAGTGCAGGACCCTGACTTGAGTTTGTTTTGATTGGTTCATGCCCAGTGATATTAAGGAAAAACTGTGCAGGTTGTTAACTAATCTGAATATCACTGTTAGTGTATCAAGTTACTGAATTTGAATTCTATCTTGAAGGTGATGGTCAGCCTTTGAAAGTTTGAGGAGGAAAGTAGAGTGACTTTGTTTGAGAAAGATTACTATAGAAGCAGCAGGGAGGTCGAGGGGTCCTGGGGAGAGGTGAGGTTCTGCACTAAGTCAGTGTCAGAAGACCTGCAGAGGAGGGGATGGGAGAGAGAAAGAGAGAGAGAGAGAACCCTAGAGAGGTGGAGAAGGTGGATACCCAGCTTGAGGGCGTGTGAACATCCCTGAGATTCTCAACACAGGACAAGAGCCATTGTCCGGGAAGTTGGGGTGATTGCCTGGGGATGTCTGACCCTGATGGAGGCTGCTTTCCTGTGGATGTAGCTGAAGCCCAGATAAACTGCCTTCCTGGGCACAGTGCTGTCATCTGCTGGGCTGGTTGGCCCCACCAGGATCCCAGCCTAGGAATCATTGGTAGCAGATACAGCTTCAGGTGTGAGTAGTACCTTTCACTTCCTGCTGGGTGAGCACGGAGGAGTCCAATAAGGCTGGAGGCCAGGACTGACACCTCCTGGCTGGGAGATGATAACCAGTGCAGCGTTGTGAAGTGAGGAGAGTGATGGCCTTTGAGGGCTGCTGGAAGTTGGATGCGTTACGTGAAAGCAGGTCATAGGTTAACTGTGTAAGCACCTCCCCGCTTCCCTCTGCCTTTAATGGGAGATGAGTAAGCGGACGACCAGGCCCAGAAGCAATTTGTCTCCCTCTCCACACGAGGTTCCCAACTGGGATGGGACTCCTCTCCTCTCCCTCACAGCAGACCTTTGTGCACTCAGTTGGACCCAACAATTCTCACTGACTGTTTCATACCAGGCACTGAGCTAGACCCTCAGGATCCAGGCAGGAATAAATATGTTCCTGCCTTCAGGTCTTCAACTGAAGAGATGCCAGTTAAGAGATGAGAGGTTATTCCGGTTGTTAAAGAAAAAGAAAGCAAAAAACAGGAACTAAGCCGAAGCCACTGACTTGGGGAAACACGGGGTATGTTTGGGGAAACATGGGGTGTGTGTTTGGGAAGCTTGTCAAGAAGTTGACTTTGCAGCTTTGAGTAAGAGATGGTCAGGAGGGAGGGAGGATGTTGAAAGGGAAAGGCCAGTGTGGAGTGTGTATTTAATCCAGCAGGCAGTGAGGAACCTGCTGTTTTTGAGCAGGAGAGGCCCAGGACAAGGAAGGCAGGGTGGTTTCTGAGGCCTCAGTCTTTGTAGTCAGTGAGCGGCTCCAAAGGCTTGACCTCAGAGCAGAGCTGGCAGTCTTATGGATGGGCTTTAGCAGATGAATTAACTTCTTTCTACTGATCCCTAACCCAAGGCAAAAGTAGTAGAAACATTTGTAAATTCACTCGACATCTCTTGATAGCGCCAGGAGCTTTTTGAAAGGAACATAGCTGCTTTATTTTAAAGCATAACCATGTAGAGCCATTTATAGATTTGATAATAAATCAATATGAATTGAATTATCATGGAAATTTGGCATATGGAGAGCCTGACCGAATCCCTGGTTGGACCATGGTGACGTAGGTGGTGGTTAATATAGAAAGACTACAGACTTCCCATTAGAAAAAAATAAGGGGAGGGTTTGAATTGGTAGTTATAAAAGGAAGAATTCAGGCATCCAATAACCATTTCACATCACATTCAAACAAAGACAGCCAGGTGCCCTGTTTTCTTCACTGACTGGAAGGCAATGACAGAGCCCAGGAGTGTCAGAGCTGACTTGGCCTCTCCTGGTCCTTTTACAGGTGGGGAAATAGGCCCAGATCAGAGAAGGGACACACCCCAGGCCCAGGGAAGATGGTGGCAGGGCCCATGGAGCCCCCTCTGGATGACATTGACTGCCAACAAGACCCCGTAAGTACTAGGAGAGTGGACCTAACTCGGTGAGACTCACAGGTGTGGGGCCTCCTCAAAGCGCCCAGGTCATTCCTGTGGGTTTGGTCTTGCACTTCTCAAAAGTGGCCAGAAGATGTCACTGTTAAAAACCCTAACAAGTCACCCCTTGCACTGTTCTACTGACGTTCATTTCAAACTACAAGGTAGTTTCCAGTTTTCAAAATGTACATTTTAAGAGGGGGAAAAACCATAAAAGCATTGTGGTCAGGGTATTGGTTCATCTTTTCATTGTAAAAGGAAGAGTGCATTAGGCATATGTAAGAGCTGCTTTAACAGCGCTTCAGGGGCTATGCCAAGGGGAGCTTCAGTTAGAATACAGCCCCTCCAGGACTCTTTATAGACCCTTCATCAAAGTATGGAGCCCTCCCCAGGAAGCGTGCTCTCAACCCAGGCCTGGGGACCCTGTGTCTGAAACTGCCCCAAGTTACCTAAGTAGTCTGAGGGCTGCTTCCTAGCCTTGCCCAAGTCCATCTCCTTAACAAACCTCAGTTTTCTCTGCGGGGTTACTAGCTTCCTGTCAGAGCTGTTACAAGATCCAGTGAAATGAGAAAATGTATTTGAGAGAGGCAGGAGGGGGCATTGGCATGATCCCTGGCCGTGGGGTCAAACAACACAGTGTGGACACTGATCCTCTCAGCTGTGTGACCTCAAAGTCACTGTGCCTCTCTGAGCCTCCATTTGCTCATAGGTTTTTAAAAAAAAGTTAAATGTGCCCACCGCATGGGCTTGCTGTGCAGATAGAGCCTGCGTGAATCCAGCACTGTCAGTGACAGGACTGGCCTCAGTGTTCCTACTACTAAGTGTCAGCGCTTTCTTCTCCCTCACTTTACAGACAAAGCCTAGAGAGGGGAAGTG